AGATCTGTGTTGGAATAAATGCAGCCAGAGTGCTCCTTAGAGGCCAAGATGGCCAAACTTCGTCTCTCATACTTTGGACATATTATCAGGAGGGACCAGTCACTGGAGAAGGATATCATATTTGATAAGGTGGAGGGTCAGAGAAAAAGAGGAAGACCCCCAGCGAGATGGATTGGTCATATGGCAGCATCAATGGGCTCAAGCGTGGCAACAATTGTAAGGTTGGCCCAGTACCAGGCAGCATGTCATTCTATTGTGCATAGAGTCGCTATGAGTCGGTACCGACTCGATGACACCTAGCAACAGCAACAACAACTTGAGCAAGAGGTGTGTCCTTGTTCATTCTAACAATGCATCAGGTGCCCCTGTCAGGTTCAGAGCACATGCAGTCCCCACTTCGTTTATAGTCTTAGTGTAATTTTTAAATGTTGTTCAATTGCATTTGTGTTCACTATATAAACGTAATGAGTTAATATTTAATTTCTTACAAGTAAGCAAGTATAATACATTAATGGTAATATAATATTTTTCTGTAACTTTTTAACCAAAAGCCTTTGCAAACATGATGTTTCTTTGCTAATGTAGTTTTCTGATAGTGGTTGAAATGTACTTTGTTAGGTCTTCCCAATACCTTTGGTGGCTATGATGAGACCCCTCAAGCGATGGCCATGCACCTAAAGGTAGGGATTCTTCTTTGACTGGAATTCTCAAGAGACAAAGGGCATTTTAGATTTAGAATACTTAGAAACAGAATTTCCACCAAGAAATCTCATTGCATATATAGCAAACAAAAGTGTAGGTATTCTGATTAAGGTGTAGTATGGGAGGCAAGGGCTCCCTGTTAACACCCTTATACCTTATCAGCACCAATGACTGTTGGGAAATGCCTCATGGGATCCACCCCAAATGAGCTGAACCTGCTTCTTCATTGAATCATTGTTTCCTCTGGAGCTCTCCTACATGGTATAGTGTTTCCACTGAGTCTGGACTCATAGCGACCCTGTAGAGGGTTTCTGAGGAGTGACTGGTGGGTTTAAACTGCCAACCTTGTGGTTAACAGTCCAGTGCTTATCCTACAGCACTACAGCATGTCCCACTGCTGGAGGTGGATAGATGTGCTACCTGCCCCTCCTGACCACCTGCACTGGTCTCCGTCTCCTTGTAAGCCTCACCCTCTTTGAACCCTAGCGCGTTGGACTCCCCACCTCATTATCCCTCCTTGTTGCACTCGTTATCTGCTTACCTCTCCACGGCACACCATTACCACCAACTACTTACCTCTCCGCCTCACACCACCACCACCACCTACTTTCTTCTAGATCTCTTTTCCTCATTTCTTAAATTTTTAGCTCTGACTCAGTGGTGCTTTCTCCTAAATGGTTTCATACTTATTTCCTAGAATTTGGGTCACTTATGAGGATAATCTTTTCAGTACCCTGGCTTTGCAGTCTCTTTCCTTTCCCTGTCAGTCACCCTGCCTTCTCCTCAGCCAGTGGTGGCTCTCTGGACCTACACCCCACACGGTAGCCTCTTCCATATGTAACTTGACTCTTGGAAATGTGATTTAATTTTTTGAAATTTTAATTAAAACTTAAATTATTAAACTTTGCTAATTTAATATTTGAAAGTACGTGATTAAATTATAGTCATTCAGTTGAGCCAGTAAGTAAACCAATCTTTAACCTGATCAGATGGGCAGATAAATCTCCCTTGCATTTAATTAGTATAAAATTTCATGGTATCTGAACAAGTCTGTGTTTTTGACCTTAGATGTGTTGTTGATAAGTGCCATCGAGTTGGTTCCAACTCATAGCAACCCTGTATTAGGGTTTCCGAGGAGCAGCTGGTGGGCTTGAACTGCTGAACTTGTGATTCACAGTTCAGTGCTGATACTACAGCGCCACACTACGAGTCCAACCTTAGCTGCAGGGCATGTCAGATGTTACATACAGAGTTAACTGTATATAGCTCTCTTCTTAATGCCAGCTTAGTTCTTCAGGAAACCTAGATATTTTCCCTGGTGAATCGGTAGTGTGCAGTGTGGAATTCAGATGAACTTTCTGAAGCTTGCTTTTTCTAAATGCAGGACTTCGCTATGGATGGCTTGGTGAATGTAGTTGGTGGGTGCTGCGGGACAACGCCCGATCACATCAGGTAATGATCATTGCTGAAAGATTTGAACTCTATGAAAAAATTCTAAAAACAAAAATAGAGTATTAAAACTAACTCTATGTGCCTATCACACAGTTTCATAATATTTTGTATTTTGCCATTTCAGTTTTATGTATCTCTCACTTTTCCCTCCTGGAATATTTTAAAGCAAATGTATGGTTATCCGCTCAGCTACTTAACAGTAAGGTTTGCAGTTTGAACTCATGAGCTGCTTCATGGGAGAAAGTTGTGCCAGTCTGTTTCCGTACAGATTGTTGTTGTTGTTGTTAAGTGTTGTCAAGTCGGTTCTGACTCATAGTGACCTTGTATATGGTTTCTGAGGAGCGGCTGGTACAGCCTTGGAAACCTAATGGAGCAGTTTCACTCCATGTTGTATTTGAATTAAGACAATGGCAATGGCTTTGGTTCTTTTTTGATTATATATAAAAATCTATCCTTAAACGTAGAGGTAATGTTGAAATGCTCAAGGAGGGACAGCTCATGTTTCTTGTGGGGAACAATACATGCTTCCATTGCATTCTCCTGGGAAGGAAAAGGCAGTGACTTGATTTGCCCAGCACACAGTCAGAGCTGAATAAATGGGTTTGGGTGTTTGTTTAAAAGAAACATGAAATAAGCACAGTTTTAAGTATGTATTTAAGTCCTTTTGACTTTGTGCCTTACTGGAGGATTGAAATTCAGAAAGCTAGATCATGTTTTAGGAGTATTTGTTTTCTTCCCCCCTAGAGTGACCTATGGTCAGATTTTGAGTGAGTCACGTACCTATTCTGTTTGTATGCAAGAATGAATATTGAATTACATAATATTTCCTTAATATATTT